GATTTCTTAAACCTTAACGCCAAACTTTTGAACATTTTAAAACAGAAGTTACACATTAGACATTAGATTAGACATTACATACTTTAGTTTTAGCCATCAACTAACCATGTTTTTGAGATGGAATTACAGGCACATAATCATTGGATGTGGGTGAGTCAGCATCAGTTTATTGAGCTGTGTTTACAAAATGAAATATGCTATAGAAATATATACAGCTAACAGATATCAAATGTAAAATCATACACATTTACAATCTCGATTTCATTCAACACAGCAGAATGTATAAACTATATCTTAAGAGCATGTGCACAACAGGACGCCACATAACACGCAAACAGTAGGTTTGAACTTTACAGCTCCACTGTATGAGGCCATAAGGCAGTGATTTGCATTTAAATTAAGACATTAACATTAAATAATTTAATGTCTCTGTTGACTTTAATAGGCCATTCATTCATCAGGCTATTATTAGATGGAAAGGTGCATGTAAACCTGACTCACCGAATGACTGTGTCAGCGCTACGGGATGTGAATGAGAAATGCGTTGTATGAAAGACTTTGTACTTCAAACACCGGCATCACGCTGCTGTAAAGTGACGTCACGATGCTGCTGAAATTAACTTTTTTTTTTTTAAATCCTGAACCCTCTGGTTGTTTTTCCCCACTGCATACAAGGCTTTTGACAACAGGAATTTGTAACGAAAGAGAAGAACAGCCAGGAGGCATCCTCGCTCCCTTGCCTTTTCCTATCTCATGGGCTTCTCTTTTTATTCTTTGTGCATGTGTCGAGCTGTCAGGCAGAATAATATCAGCATTTAACAATAAGGTGTGTGCATACAAATGCCCTGATGCTGTTCCAGAAACAATAGTGGAATTTGTTATGACCTATAATTGCCTGTGACTTTGGGACACCAGTGTGTTTTGGCAAGGATGGCCTTTCCTTATAGGCTTCAGGCACAGTGCTAGAGAGACAGAGTTGTATTGGCAGCGGCGGCTGCTCCCATAGAGTGTTTTTCCAAGGCAAATCAAAACATAAAAACTAAGAAAGAAAGAATAAATAAATACAAATCAGCAGCACTCGCCGAGCAGTGTCACAAACGTTTGAGAATCTCAATAAATCCATTGTACATTGTGTTTTTCATAAAGTCAGTGTGGTTATGCATGTGCCTATACCCAAATATTCTGGTCTAAAGTGCTGATGCATTCTGGGTAACGTCACGGGTCACACCTCACACATCAGCCAAGACTTTAATCTTGTTTATTTCATAACGTTATCAGCAGATACAGATGCTAAAACAATGTAACACAACCTAACAAACGGCAGAGGAGTCATGCGGGTCTATTCACGGAACACCATTATTCACTGCCAGTGGCCTCTAAAATTAACTTTACGCTAACAGGAGAGAGCAAACAGAGATGATACATCAAGCAGGAGTGGATAGAGTGATGCAGGATGGATTGGCAGATGGATGAATGGAAACAGGGGAGGAGAGCCAGACTCTGAGCTGGCACAGGTGTTTATCAGTGATGACAAGCGAAGGTCGAGGGAAGGAATGAATCATTGTACTTACAGCCTCACTTCTGCCTACTAGGACACAATTTTATAATGCTCAGAAAATATAAAATTGCTCAAATATACTACCATTCAAAAGCTTTCTTTCTTTTTTTCTTTCTTTCTTTCTTTCTTTCTTTCTTTCTTTCTTTCTTTCTTTCTTTCTTTCTTTCTTTCTTTCTTTCTTTCTTTCAGCAATGACTTAAAAGTGGTTTATTAAAAAGTGACTGTAAAGACATTATCTTTTGGAAAAGATTTATATTGCAAACAAATGCTGTTTTTGATCTTTATATTCATCAAAGAATCCTGAAAAAGTATCAGTTTCTACTAAAATATTAAGCAGCACAGCTGTTTTCAACATTGATAAAAATATGAAATTTTTCTTGAGGATCAGATCAGTATATTAGAATGATATCTGAAGGATCACATGACACTGAAGACTGTATAATGGCTGCAAAAAAGCTATATGATAACTGAAATATCACAGTAAATATGATAATTCGACCGAACTTCGATTTTTTTATGTTATTGTAAACATTTTGAGGGATACATTGTGCCATATGCTTGCAAGTTGCCACCATATGAACTACTCATAAAATATGGAAAGAGAAGCAGGAATGTGGATGCAAAGGAACACTGTACATTGTAATATTCAGTTTAAACCCAACAGAAAAAAATCATAGAACCCCTTCATAAATTTAGTGAATCTAATATATTTAAAAAATGCTGATTCATGACATGTACAATAATGATTAGGATATTTGTAGTTTGAGAAAAAATACAGTTTGATTGACTTACAAGCAGGCCCACAATGAATCTTCGTCCACAGACGTGTGTAGAAAGCTCAGCAGATTTCTGCAGAATTGCAACACCTGTCAAAGATCTACCTCCCTCAACCTCAATCTCGTTTATTAAATATTGTGGCTAATTTGATTATGCTTTCACCTACTTATAAGCATGCTGGACACGTCACTGTGATCGACACATTTTACCATATTTAAATCACTTTGCACAACATCTGCACAGACAATACAAAAAGTCAGCATATTCGGCCTAAGCCTGCGGCAAGGTAGCATGTCAACTGAAACAAACAGGAAATATAATATGTAGGTGTCTAATGTACATGTCAGATTGTTTGGAGATATCAAGCATGCATCTTTTTATCTAATTCATCAGAATTCTCTAATACATACTGTTACAGATTTCTTATGTTTCTAAAGGCATAGTAAAAAGAAACATGTCATTAACGTCTCTTTGAGGCACAGCCTAAAATTAAACATGACAGCATCTCAGAGTTTATTCTGCTACCCTGAAAGCAAAATACCACCTGAGTGTGCTCTCTCTTAAGATGCTGACAGTTTTGAGAATGAAGATCAAAAACAAAAGCACTTTTTTTTTCTCATGTTCCACTTGGGAAGTCAACACAATTTCCAGTCCTGATTGGTCAGATGGAGCCTCAATTTTACCATGCAAAGAACAGAAGAGAGTCTTTTGCACACTTAGTAAAGTAGCTGAAACCATAATCAAATTTGTCACAATATTTAATAAATGACAATGGTTGGGGGAAGTCGATCTTTATATGAATGATGTGCATTGCAATTCTGTGGAAATTTGCTGAGCTTTCTGCACGTCTGTGGATGCAGATTTCATTATGGGCCTGCTTAACTCCAAATGTAGTATTTCTCGATATCTTGTACATTTAGAATTGTTATGTTCCCTTTCAGTCGGTCACTCTCTACGTCACGTCGGATGACCGACGAAATTGGGATCTCGCTTAGAGAGACCAATCCACTTCGAGTGTAAACTAAATGAGCCAATGCACATTGGAATGCGATTATTGCATCCAGCTGCTGCTGATCACAGCGTGAGTATAAGTAGGCAGCAGATGCAGCGCATATTCAGCTTTTCGCTTCGGAGCCGAGCGGTTCTATCGTTCTGCTCCTGACCTTCTACGAGTAGAGAGTAAAGACTACGAGTCAAGCACGCTCTTTGTGGGATCTCGTGTAGGTGGTACGGCGCTTCAGTGGCGGTGGTTTTCCCGTGTCGAGTGGGTTGCACACAGCAGGCTGCACTACCCCTGTGTGTGTTGCAGACGGCCATCTCCCCTGTGCGCTTCAGCACACTGAAAGAGCAATTTTCCATACTAAAAGAGCTTCACGGGTGGAACGTCTTTTTGAAGACGCGTCTTTTTAAAGATGTCTTACCACCCGTGTGTTTCTGGGTGCGGTCGTTACCTGGTGCCGGGTGATGGTCACGATCGCTGCCTCTCGTGCCTGGGCGTGAAGCACGCTGAGGCGGCTTTCGTGGATGACTCATGCTCCCATTGAGGGGGTATGACCATCTCGGAGTTGCGGACCAGACTCAGTTACCTGCAAGGGGGCGGAGTGCCCGTGCCACTGCCTAGATCTGGGGTTCCCTCTGGTGGCAGCCAGGGGTACCCTTTTTCTGGCAGTGGGCGGACTGGTCTCACGGTCATGATGAGGAATTCCCCTCCTACAAGGAAGGGGATGCCCGAACCAGCCGGCACTTCGAAGCCAGCGGAGCCCGCAAGAGAGCAGGCTGGATCCTCCCGGGGGATACCACCTGTTTGTTCCGAGGCTCCCCCCGACGATCGGATGTCAGTCGCAGCATCAGAGGGTGAGCCAGACTTTTCTGGGGATGAAGATCCGTCAGTGTCGCCACCCTCTGGGCGGCCAGTGGTGCCAGATACGGACCCGGAAATGATGGCTATGCTTTCCCGGGCCACCGAGAGAGTCGGGCTCGAGTGGAATCTTCCACCGCGTCCCGAACCCTCAAGGTTGGACGATTGGGTTCTCAGGGCCCCACCCCAGTGCCTTTCTTCCCGGAGGTGCATGATGAGATCACTGGGTCATGGACGGCACCTTTTACTGCCAGAAACCGCCCAGGTGGCTCATTCTCCCTCACCACCCTTGATGGGGGTCCAGCGAGGGTTGTATACGGGAGTTCCCCAGGTGGAGCGGTCTGTTGCGATGCAATTGTGTCCAAATGCCGCTACCACTTGGCGGGGCAAGCGAGCACAGGTACTTGGTGCTTTCACACCTCAGCCTGTTGGGCCTTCAGGTCAACTGGGGAAAGAGCAAACTCTCCCCGACGCAGAGGATCTCTTTTCTCGGTATGGAGTTGGACTCGGTCGAACAGACAGCACGCCTCATGCAGGAATGTGCTCAGTCGGTGTTGAACTGCTTGAATACATTCAAGAGCAGGATGGCGGTCCCACTGAAACAGTTTTAGAGGCTCCTGGGGCATATGGCAGCTACGGCGGCAGTCACGCCGCTGGGGCTGCTCCATATGAGACCGCTGCAGCACTGGCTCCATGGCCGAGTCCCGAGGTGGGCGTGGCAACGCGGCACCTCCCGGGTCCAAGTGACATCGGCCTGCCACCAAACCTTCACCCCGTGGTCAGACCTTGCATTCCTCCGGGCAGGAGTGCCCCTGGAGCAGGTCTCCAGGCATGCTGTGGTTTGCACAGATGCCTCAACCACCGGCTGGGGGGCCACGTACAACGGGCTTGCAGTGTCAGGGGTTTGGACGGGGCCCCAACTGCACTGGCACATCAACTGCCTCGAGTTGCTGGCAGTGCACCTTGCCCTGGGCCGTCTCAAAGGGCGCTTATGAGGCAAGCATGTACTGGTCCGCACGGACAACGCAGCGACTGTTGCGTACGTCAACCGACAAGGTGGTCTGCGCTCCCGTCGCTTATCGCAACTCGCCCGCCACCTCCTCCTCTGGAGTCAGAAGCATCTGAGGTCGCTTCGTGCTGTTCCCATTCCTGGGCTGCTCAACCGGGCAGCCGACGAGCTATCCCGAGCTGTGCTCCCGGGAGAATGGCGACTCCAGAAACCTCTCACTATTCGTGCCTAGAGTTCGGGCCGGCTGATTCCCAGGTGATCCTGAGGCCCTGGCCCGGCTATGTGTCCAAGGTTCCCACTACTCCCTTCAGGGATCAGGTGGTGAACCTCCAAGCGCTGCCCTCGGAGGAGGCAGACCCAGCCCTTGCTTTGCTCTGTCCCATCCGAGCCTTAAGGGGCTACTTTGACTGGACACAAAGTTTCAGAACCTCAGACCAGCTCTTTGTCTGTAACGGAGGCCGGCAGAAGGGGAATGCCGTCTCTAAGCAGAGGATGGCCCACTGGATAGTGAATGCCATCACCCTGGCTTATCAGGCACAGGGTGTGCCCTGCCCGCTCAGGTTGCGGGCTCACTCAACTAGAAGTGTTGCATCCTCCTGGGCGCTGGCTTGTGGCGCGTCGCTGTCGGATATCTGTAGAGCTGCGGGCTGGGCGACCCCTAACAAGTTCGCCAGATTTTATAGCCGGTATCCTCCTGTGTTCTCACCTCAAATGGTTAGAAGCACTGAGGGGCCCCGGCTTCGGGTCAGCTTGCAAAACCACTCCAGAGAGTCCATATAGTAGACCATGTTGAGTTCCTCAGTCCCCTCGGCAGCCAGACGTGGCGGAGCGTCCGGCGCCAGGCCTTCACTCGTTGAATCGTAGGGGCGCAATTGGCTTCCACAGAACACTGGAAGGGGCAGTAGCTGTGGGTCTTTGGTAGGATCCCAATTTCGTCGGTCATCCGGCGTGACGTCGAGAGTGACCGACTGAAAGGGAACGTCTCGGTTACGTATGGTAACCATCGTTCCCTGAAGGAGGGAACGGAGACGTCACGTCCCGTCGCCACAGCTCCTGTACCACCGCTGATCGGCCGGGTCACCGGCTCGGCTCCTCAGCGAAAACCTGAATATGCGCTGCATCTGCTGCCTACTTATACTCACGCAAAATTTACACTTTACTTACACTTTACTAAAATAAAACACTTTACAATGAGGTTCCAGTTATTAATATTTGTTAGCATAAAATTACAATACTTTTAAATAAGATTAGTTTAACAAGGTAATTCACGGTAATGCTATAGATTAGAAAACACTACTCACTATTAACTAGTTGCTCATTGGCATGTGTATTACTATTCTGTAAGACCATAATATAAATCCTTTAACCGGTCACTATTTTTTTAAGTTCCAATTTTTATTATTAACTAATGAATAAATATGAATTTTGCCTCAATAAACTCCTAATTTGTTCAATATTAGTAGTTAAGGTAGTTGTTAAATTGGAGTAGGTGTAAGGGATCTAAAATATGGTCATGCTGAATAAGACATTAATATGTGCTTTATACGTAAATACTAATGAACAGCCAATATGCTAGTAATATGCATGCTACTTAATAGTGACCCTTTGCCAGGAGTTTGATTGACAGGCAGTCTGACCAATCATAACATAGAATCTGCCATTTTGTCCAACAAACAAACCAGACAAAAGAGTAGATTAACACTGGTGGACTTGAACTTGAAAAACGATGTGTATTGACATCTTTCTGGGGTTGAAACAAGATACCTTCTGAAGATTCATTCATGTTTATTTCGTGCTAGTAAAGAGAAAGAGATGATCGGTTCACATGCCACTTGAACTGAGGCGCTACAGAGATCTGCCACAACACGTTAAAGAGCCACAAAACTTCTTAAAAAATAATTTCTTAAAATTTGAACGCTGAGACTTTGTTTTATACCAAGAGTAACCTGCTCTGTCTTGTCTGTCAGCATGTTGTCAGTTTCCTCTTTGCTCCGCAATGTATTTTTCACTGCATGAGAACGTGCTGCTAGCATCATGGCTAATAGCAGACGTAGCAACAGTTAACTAAGGAGGGTGGGTCTTTGCAAAGGGCAAAATATTACCCTTAACTCTAGCAAATACCTAAATATAACTGCTACACAACTACCTTACTTACTATCAATAAGCAGCAAATTAGGAAATTATTGAGGGAAATCTCTTAGTTAATGGTGAATATGTGTTCCATAATCTAAAGTGTTACCACAAGCACAAGCATCTAAAGTGTTGTGCATCACTTCACAGAAGATGATTGGAAAGAGAATTTTAGATTGACACGACAATCTTGTATTATATTCAACAACAACATCAGCCTGTTCCATGCGTCATATGTCATTACGCTATTTCTACATCATTGCATATGCACAAAATTATCCAGTTTCAGTTTTCAATCCGATCAAGTGTTTACTGAATGGATTAGAAAAGTTGAAATTTCAGTTGGTTTGGACATTTTTATTCCAAATTAGGTGTTTACATTGAGCATTTTCATTCAAATTGGACTTTTAAACCAATTGTAATCAGAATACAATGCTCCAAGTAAACACACTTGCTGTTAGTTAAAAGGTTAGTTCACCCAAAATTGAAAATTAGCCTGTGATTGACTCACCCTCGAGGCATCCTAGGTGTATATGACTTCTTTTAGACTAAGCCAATCGGAGTTATATTAAAAGTTGTCCTGGCTATTCAAAGCGTTATCATTGCAGTGGGCGGGTGTTTTTGTTCAACAGTCCAAAAGACGTCAAATAAAGTGTGTGCATCCATAAGACCTCCTGTAGTGAATCCATAGCTGCGTTTCCACTGTTGGGCCAAAAGCGTGCGTGCTAGTGCGTGCCAGGGCCAGTCACGTTTCCACTGTCATTTCCGGGGCTTGATCGTGCCTCGTCGGTGCTTCCTCGGGACCAAAGGCCCGGGTTTTTTGGCCCGACGAAAACCTTGGGCCAAAGCGGGCCAACTGGGGCTAGAGGAGTGGCTATGTATGAACAAAGGCGGAGTTTCTCCATGTCTGGAGAGCGACAGCGCCGCGGATTATTTCATAAAGTTAACAGATAACACCAGCATCAAAGACTTTTAAAATAAGTTGAGCTCAAAACTCACTTTCAGACAGCAGCAAATGTATGAAACTTCTGTTTGAGATCCAGTGTGGATTATGATCACCATACAAGGCAGAAATAGGAATTTATAAGCGTTGAAAAAGACTATGCACGCTAGCCATTAACGTTACCATAGTAAACATGGTCAATACGACCGCTTGAAGAAATCAGATGTCAGCTTCTCATTCTGTATCACAATCGTGTATTTATTTAGTAACATATTTTATCTGTCATAAGTCTTGTGTCATAAGTCTTGTGTACGTCATAAAAATATCATAACTTTTCGGGAGCTCTCACTCTGCTACTCAGGTCGTATTTGTGGTGGAAAAAATATAGAAATTATAATTCTTTCTAAATGTGATGTATACTGTGACTACAAATAAACAGAAACAAACTCGACTGAATAAGTAGGCTGTGTCCCCTTTCTTTTTTGAAACAACGGTTCATACCGCTTTATTCCTGTGTGACTAATTTTCAATCCTTATAAATTAATTCACTATGATCAATGTATCACTATTATTGTAAAATGCTTTTGGATTTAAATCTTTAACAAAACATACAAACAAACGGCCGCTTTTATCATGTTTTGTGATCGTGCTAGTTCCAGTGACTTTCTGATTCGTTTTCTGATAAATCTTCTCTTTGTTGGTGAAATGATGGGGTAGCATGACATTGTTCCTGAGAAGCATGTAAAGGGCAGGTTTTAGTGAAACGCAGCGGAGCTTCTGGCTCGACAGTGGAAACGCATCGTGATTTTGGGCACGGTGCTACAGGTCCGAGGCTATTAGCCCCGCCCGGCCCGTTTAAAGCACTGGTTCGCACTGGCCCGACATTGGAAAAGCGGCTCATGCGTTTTTGTAAGAAAAATATCCACATTTCAAATGTAATAAACACTTCTCTCTCACTTCAGCTAACTGTGGTACACGGAAGCCATTCCGGCGGATGACGTTGGACGTATGCATAGCGTGATTAGTGACGAACACGGAGAGAGAACAAAACAAAACGCCAGTCATGAATTAGAAGTACAAACCGAGGATTTGTAAAGAAAAATGTTGGAGGATTTCGATATAAGCCAAGAGGAAACTGGTTTTCCTTTGCTAAAGTAAGGAATCTTTGCTTCCTTTGCTCCTGTAAACAAACTCACGAGCAATTCTCAGAGGCGCGCGTGCGACACCTACGTCCTACGTCATCCACCGGAACGGTTTCCGCGTATGACAGAGACGGACTCAGTAGTATAATTGCAGCAGGTGCACAATAAATGTTCATACATGACATCACTGCTGGTGGGTGGGGCCCCATCTCGTTCTTTGCAGAGGGGCCTCTAAGATGTGCGGTACGCCACTGGGTGAACTAACCCTGTAATGTATTAAGTAGCGATTACTAAGAGGACCTTATTGTAAAGTGTTACCAAAATCTTTGAATGGGCAATGACACATATAAAGAAGTGTGTTAATGAGAGTACTTAACATCTCTCTCTTTCTCTCACTGTCGTGATCACTCCTCTATCACACCTCCTCCCATATTCACAGTCACATGGCATCACAAACAGCCCAAAGCCTGCATCATCATTCTCACCTGCTGCTGTTCTCCGAGGACAGCTGGGCTTTGTGTTTTCTCCCAGCGCTGGCAGGTCTCCCCTCCTCCAGTCTTTCACTCTCCACATACACACTGACAGTCTATTCATT